AAAAAAAAAAAAGAAAAAAAATGAATAATTTTAAACGAGTAAAATCTCGGACAAAATTAGGAATTATTTCAGCTAAATGTTTATAGTCAAAAGTATAATCTGTGGAAGTACATATACACATAGATAGATAGATAGATAGATATATAGCAAATATAATCGATTCGATTTAAAAACGAACAAGAAGTTTGTTGTTTTGTTTCTTTTTTTTTGTTTTTTTTTTTTGTTTTTGTATAGTTTTCTATTACAAGACTGAAGAATCATGGATGGTGGTGTTCCCATGTTAAAGGAAGATTTGCTAAAGTCAACATTCTTGAATGAACATTGTGTGTTTGTTGAATGAACATTCAACACAACCGTGTCTCGTTACAATTGAGACACATTGTAGGTAGTATTATCGGAGAAGAAACGTAAGATCGTTTTAAAAAAAAAAAGAAAAAAAAATGAACAATAATTATGTTATCTAAATGTATGAATATTTAAAAAAAAACTAGATTAGTCCGAAGCTTCGTGAAATTTAAAGTAATGAATCTTCATGGCTCTATTATTAGGATACTTGATATTACAACAAGGACAAGTTGCATTAACTGCTCCTTCAACAACGTAAGTGGTAAGATCAGTTTCCCTATGAAAATTAGTGTTGTTATCTGGTTCATATGGTGTACCATGTACAGATAGTATATGTATGGCTATCTCTTCTCTACTCCAAACGTGACGGTTGCAAAGTTTACAACAGATAATCGTTGCTTTGTGTGGCGAAGGTTCAGTTTTTATTGACTGCGATATAGTCGAATATGACGGATTACAGCTAGCTGTTGTACAACGACTTTTTGTATGATTTCTATGTTTCGCAGTAAAGTGTTGTTTCAAATTTGACATTGACCAAAATTGTTTATCGCATATATTGCAGGATAGTCTACCGTCAGCATTTTGTACTGGAATACATTCTTTTATTGGAGTTTTACCGGCCATTTTCGTTAATCTCGGTTTATGAATCAATTGTTTGTGTTTGTATAAAACACTCATATCTGGGAATGTTTTTTTACATGAATGACACGTTACTGGTTTCTTACTACTGACATTTGATGTGAACACTTTTGAAGTGTTTTCTCTTATTTCAACGTCTATTTTTTTATATTTGTATTCATCGTTGGACACTCGTCTGCTACTAAATGATTGAGACCTAGGAGATTGTAAATCATTGTGAAAAGACATTCTATGTCGTTGCAATGATTGATTACTGCTGAAGATCTTTCGACAGATGTTACAGAGATATTGTGCACTCTTTCTACTAAGCGATTGAAATTTAATCGTAGTATTTGCTTTGTGAAGTTTTCTATGTTTCGTCAATGCTTTCTTCGAGCTGTAATGTTTGTTACATATCTCGCAAAGGAAACTTTGCTTTTGTATATCGCTCAATATTGGATTGGCTTTGTGCCAATCCATATGTAACTTTAGACTTTTTTGATCTGGAAAAATATTGGTACATAACTGACATTGAAGTTCATCAACTGAGAAACTTTTTTCTGGTTTATTACGAGCACAATGAACATCCCACAAATGTTTCCTCAACTCGACTACATCTTCGAATTTACTGTCACATACCTGACATTGGTAATCGTTGTTTAGTGGCTTTGTAGGCGGTGGATTTGGAAATGATTTTCTTGCCCTAGCTGGACGTACAGGCGACGAACCACCAACTAAATTATTATCATTCATTTCGGTAGGAGAAATTGGTGTTACCGTTGGCTTGATCTCATTGGTTAAAAATGATCGAGTGTAGAAACGTGAATTAGCTCGATTGTGCCAACTTCGATGAATCTTCAAGGACGCTTCTTCCAAAAAGACTTTACCACATATATCGCATTCTTGATTACCAGGTTTATCACCATGAGCACTCCTATAATGTAGATCCAAATTAGCTTTGAAACTAAATGTCTTAGGACATTGGCTACACATCAACATGACTTTTGTTTTGTGTTCAATTTTCATATGATGCTCATAATGCTCTTTTGTTTTAAATGGTACCGAACAACGTATACAAGTGTAACGTGATTTTTCATCGTTATGAATATTTCTAAAATGTCTTCTCAAATTAGGATAATTGGAGAATATCTTTCCACATATGTTACATATATTTTCACGATCACCAGTATCTGAGACAGTACTCGTGTTAACAGTGTCAACAACAACATCTTGTGGTCTATTATCTAATCGATCATATTCAACGCAAGAACTGTTGGCACTTCTTTCTTGTGGATCTTCAATGCCATGATCTTTCATATGAATTTCTAAAGCACCAGCACTGCTAAACATACTGCGACAAATGACACATGAATAAATTTTCACTTTAAGATGTAGATTCTTATGCGACGCCAATTTGGCTCTCGATGTAAAATCTTGACCGCATAGATTACAAACGTATCGTTGACCATCAATGCTACGTCTTGCTTCCTCATTATCGCTCCACGATTTTAAAGGACTCTGTCCACGGTGTGGTGACATTATCTGATTACCAGTTACCTCCTTATTTTGATTGGCGGCCATTTTTCGATGTTTATCGTGATGCGTCAGGTAATCACTCGGTGATTTGAACTTGGCGTTACAATCGAAACAAACGAATTCTTTTTTCTTATGATCGAGAGTAATATGATTATGAAATTTTTTAAATACCAAAAATGTCATACCACAATGTACACACCTGTAACAAGTCCTTACTTCCGGTGATAACCTGATGCAAATGAGATGATGTCTTAACAAATTAGGCTTGTATCTGTAAATCATACCACACAAATTACATGGATGATTATGAGCTGGATCACCATTTTTGTAAGGCCCAACAATGACTTTACTCATTTGAGACGGTGATTTTGGTAAAATTTCTTTTTTTGGACTTAACAATGGTGCCATAGGTTGTAATTTTGGTGGTGATCTCGTTGGTGACATCATTTCTTCATATTGTTTATCTGAATGTTTAGACAAATGACTCAATAATTCTTTTCTATTTGGCATAGGTCTTAAACACATGTTACAAGTGAAATACTTTTCGTTTCCTTCCTTGGGTATGACCAATGCAATTTTCATAGCACATTCGAATGACGCACTGCAATGTAATTTGTACATAGATCTATCGCGAAATTGTGTTAAACATGCGATACAAGTGTATGGTCTTAAATCTGGCATGTGTTGACGAATATGAATAAGTGTATGTTTTCTATCATTGAAAGTCTGTTGACACTCGTAACAGGAAAATGTTTTCAATTGGCTGATTATATTTTGTTGTACTTCGGTCAATGGTGCATCATTTTCCATACTCGTCAATTCTTCTTCGACATCTTCGATCAATTCTTCTTCATCGGCAGAAGATGCCGCCGCCGCCGCCGCCGCCGCCACCCCCGTCAATTTAATTAAATCTTCTTTATTTTCACAATCTTCACTGTGAAATCTTTCCATGTGTTTTACATATGATTGTTTAGAATGTAGAAATATCTGACAATGTTTACACTTTTGTTTATACGCGCGTGTACCACGAAAATGTGTATGAGGACCACGTTTCATCTTTTTTCTACTATTCGGTGTAGTTGCATTTGATTTTTGTGTTGAATCAGCTTCCATTATTCTTTCCTCTTTGCTAGCAATTGCCATTGGATTTAATAATAATTCGGTACCACTGACCGAATCTATTTCTATCGTACAATCAGTATCTTCATCATCCTCTGGTTCATTTTTAATCAATACACTGTCAAATTGTTTATCTAATTTGCATTCTTCTTCCTTGTTGTTGACTTCATTCTTCGATGATGATGAAGAAGACGATTGTGAAGATTTCAATTCTTTCTTATCTTTATCTAAATCAAATGTCTTGTCAATTTGTACTCCTCCTCCTCCTCCTCCTCCTCCTGATCGTGACGTTTCAATTTTCGAATCAAATTTTCCTCCCACAGATTTTACATGATTTGTTGTTACATGCTGAAAAAAAAAATTTATAATTGAAAAATAAGTTTTTTTTTGTTTTATTCAAACACAATTTTTCTATTTGTTGTTTAATTCAACTTACAGTGTTTGATTCACTGTTGGAATCATACATTTTATTGTTATCTTCGCAATAATCTATATCTACAGGCTCTTCTTTTATATTTACAACCTGTTAATAAGAATAAAAAAAAGAAGAAGATATTTTCATGTGAAATATAAAACACATTGAACAAAATCATTCCAATCACTAATAATACACACATACCACTGGATTTGTCGTCTGCGGATGAGTTTCCAACCATTTCTGTAATTTATCTTGAGAATGAAAACAAGCTTCTTTGTAATTATACCATTGATTCACATTATTTATACAAGAAGAGCATATCAATGTGGATACTTTATCTGTAGTCAATATCTGTAACAAAATGTAGAATACATTATAATTTTTAGACCTCACTTATCCGTCAAAACTTTCAAGCAATAAACATATAAATGTACTGTATATTACAGAAAATATACTGTATAATATTAATAAGAAAGTATATATATATATATATCTATTGTTTATAAAATAATTCTATTATTGTAAACATTATAAGATCACTAGTGAAATGATAGAAAATATTGTAAACCAATCGTGTCATGGACATAACCTCCAAATGCGAATAAATGAAATTACTTGAAAACACAATGTCTTCCATTAAATGTTGTTCATGTAAAATCAATCACGCGTTAATTGTTAAATGTTTGACAGATATTAAATATACCTGAAGTGATAGACATGCTTGTATTTTAGTAACTAATGGTACAGCAGTAGGTGAATCTTCCGTTTGAAATATCGAAGATTTTGGTTCGTCCACAGTTAAACACAATCTGCACACATTATCAACGTTCAACAGCTCAACGTCGTCCATCGTTGACGGCATTTAGAGATGCTTTTCAAAGCACCCACACGCGAACCGTCACCGAATCCCTTTTTCTTTAAGGCCAGGTTAGGGAAGCAGAGTTTTGTTTGTTAGTAGTCGACATTTGAATACGGAATCGAGCGGTCCTTTTTGAACCATTCCTCTCGTCTAACTTCTTACCAGTAAGTAACCAGTCAGAATGCTTCTAATATCAACACAAGAATAAATGTGAATGAGTATGGTTAGGGATCCTATAGGAGGGATGCGCCATGTACATTGCTGGGGGACCGGAACTCGATTTTAAGCGCGCGAATTATTCAAACATTGAAAATAATTATGAAATAATGAATTACATGAAATACAGAAAAAAACAAAATGAACAATATATTTAATGATAATGAAAAATTTATATATATATTAAAATAGAATAGGTTAGACGAAAAAATTATTATAAATTCAAACGGTCCCCCAAAATTATCAGCCAATGGCACATGAGTTGAATATGAATGGCGCATCTCTCCTACAGGATCCCTAAGTATGGTATGTTAGTGCTGCCATCTAATGTTAAATATATTTAATTAATAGATTATAAACGTGGATTTTCATAATAGTCAAACGAGAGATTGATTTTAATTGATATTATTCAATGTTTATATTACAAAGATTAAAATAAATATTTGGTTTGTTTGTTTGTTTTTCTTTTCTTTTTTTTTCTTTTATTATAGAAATAATAAAATAATATTCATTCAATTATTAACGATTCTTCGAATTATTCTTTATTATCATACATTTTTTTTTTTTTAAATTCTTTTTACACATTTAACATACACCACTCGTATACTTAACAGTATAATAGATTTCTATTTTTATATGATGCACATTTTTTTTTGTCCAAATATAACAGAATTATTATTATTATTATTATTATGAAATTATGAAATTATTCGTGCGTTTGGTTCATTAAAAAATGTGTGTGTGTTGTTGTTGTTTTCTTTTTTTTTCTTTTTCTGAAAAATATCATGTTAAACTATTCTAATTGTTTTGAGCGAAATGTGAATTTTCAAAATTGTGACAGGATTCGAAAAAAAAAAATGATATTTTCAATGTTGTATCAAAAATTCATTATTATTATTATTAACAAATGATATGATCAAGCTCGCATTTAATTTTTGTTCACTGTCAAACTTATTTGGACGATATAAAAAATGCATCTCAAAATTATTTACTACATTCTATGGGTTGGATTTTTTTTTTTTTCTTATTTCATAAAATTCGTCTGATGGTCAACAACAACAACAGCAACAACAACATCTTCAAATTTGTAGATCATTTCTACAAATGTTTGTACTAGCATATTATTTAATAACATTTTTCGTAAATATTTTCAAATTAATTTTTCAAAAGAATTCATCAAAACAATGTCTGTGACAAAATTCAATACAACTTCGATTCTTTTTAGAAAATTTGATTAATATATTATATAATAATTTTTGTGCGACTAAAAACGACGACATTTTATTTTTCTTTTTTTCTATATCACAATTGTGTCAAATCAAGATCTGTTAGCAAAACATTTTTCTTTTTTTGGAGGGAAAAAAATAGAAGCGCTTGATTTCTTTTTTTACAAACATAACGGCTCGTATATAATAATTTTACTTATGTGTGTCTGTGTGTGTGTGTGTGTACGATCTATAATTCTACATTGAAATTTTGAAAATTACGAAATCTTGTTGACAATCCGACAAAAAAATTCATCCTAATTTTGTTTTATACGTTTTTCTTTTTGTTGTTGTTGTTATTTTTTGTTTTGATTCTTTCTCTCTCTCTCATTATTTTTTGACACACCCCATTGTCAATTCACTATCAACATTCGAATGAAATCAAGATGATAAATAAATCGCGCCATTTTCAACGGCCAACCATATCCGGTTCTTATTCCATCGTTCCGCCAATCCAAATGATTAAAAAGGATTTACGAGCGTGATGATGATGATGATGATTATTATTATTATTATAATCGCGCATCAATTAAAAAACCAACAAAAAAGAACCAAAAAAAAAAAAAACAAAAAATGGTTCAGGTTGTCAAACAATTAGAATTGAAACAAGAATTTTTTTTGGATTGTTGACGAACGTAGTCTTGAACGTTGAATTTTGTATCATCGGGATCGCTGCTTTTTCTAGCCTTTAATTCCCTAAAAAAAATATATATATATATATAAATATTTATATTCAATAGAAACGCATCTTTATCTTCTTTCAATTGCCAACATTTCAATAGAAATTTAATGTTACAGATTAAAATAAAAATCTCGTTTAATTATACAATTAAGAAAAATAATTAAACAAAAACAAAATGAAACCAAAAAAACCATTTAGAAATTAATCTCTAACTTGACTTTAATTATTTCTTATATAAGTTGGTATTCTATATATATATATATATACCTGGCTACTGCGAGAAATGCCAATTCAACGTTAAGTCCGGTTTTGGCTGAGGTTTCCATGAAAGGAACTTTGTACTCTTGCGCCAATCTTTCACCGTCTTCCTTCTTGACCATTCGTTCCTGTCGGCAATCGGATTTGTTACCTGTATACAGGTACAATACTTAAAACGTTTCAATAACTATGAAACTCTGACACACACACACTCTAATCTTTTATTAATTTCAATTCAAACTTAACAAATAATAATATATAAGAGTAATAAAATAATAATAATAATAATAATAATAATCATGAAGTATTACCGAGCAACATGATAACGACATCCTCGTTGGCATGTTCCCGGATCTCGCTGAGCCAGGCCCTGATGTTATCAAAGCTCGTCTTGTTTGTTACGTCGTACAGCAATAGAAGAGCTGAAATTCAGTTATTAAATATTATTCTAGGTTTCTTTTTTTTTTTAAAAAAAAAAAGAAGTTAGATTAGGTTTTAAAAATTAAACAATAACAACAATAACAAATTAACGTGATCAAAAATACCATGAGCATCCCTATAATAAGCATGAGTCACGCTACGAAATCTTTCCTGACCGGCGGTATCCCAAATTTGCAATTTAACTTTTGTCTCATCGACAGTGACGACTTTGTTCTGAAATCATAAATTAAAAAAAATATGATTAATTGTTCAAATTTCATCAAATATTTCATTTATGTTTATTTAACCCTTTCGCTACGGGTGCCGACTATAGTCGGTGTCCGCGAGACGGTGCTGTGTGTACGGGTGCCAACTATAATATGTCAATTTCTAAATATCCACAATATATACTCATTTTTATGTTTTTCTATATAATATGACGAAACAGATTGTCACCTCCCTTGTTGGGAAGTTGACCAAAATGTAAACAATATTATACATAAATAGATTTAATCTTAAACGCTACCTCCCGTGGAATGGACTGCCGTAGCAAAAGGGTTAAGCGAGCAACACAATCCTGACGCAACCAAAGATCATTTGTTTTCCCTTATCGTTGTTTGAAAATCCTGTTTTTCTTGGTTCTTTTTTTTTTGTTTTTTTTTTTATAGAATACACAAAATGAAATCTACTTCTCACCCTGAAATCAATGCCAACTGTAGTTATGTAGTTTCCAAATAAGAAACGACCATCGCGAAAACGAGTAAGTAGGCAGGTCTTCCCGACACCGCTGTCACCCAATAGCATAACCTGAAGTATATGAAGGTGATACTATATGATAAAATAAATGATGAGATTAATGAGGATTTATCTCATGGTGAAATGATAAGTAATCAATGAAACATACTTCTTCCATAAAATCTTATGTAAAGTTATTATACAATGATTGAACAAATTCAAACTTATAGGGATTTCTAGAAAAAGAGTTTGCAGTGCTCAACGTTGGACTAGTTTTTTAAATTCTTTTGTATAAAAGAAGATTATAACCTAAAATTATCAAATAAATGCAAATAAAAATAATAATAATAACCCCTATGATATATCATTTGCAATTGAATCAAATGAATGAAACAAAAGAAGTTTGCTTTTTCCTAAACTTATTCCACAATGATTAAGATAATCATGTTGAGAATGTGTGTTGGAAAAAATCATCTCTTCAAATGATAGATATTATTCAAATAAATATTTGATAATGCAAATGATACTTTGATGAATTACCAATGACACAAGTAGAATATAAATAAATAAAAATAAAAAAAAAAACAATAAGAAGGGTGGACCTTGAAGAAGAAATCGACTTGATCGGGTGTGGCTTGCCGAGCGGCCGAGTCGAGGTTGTTAAAGCGTCGGCTCGGCGGGCCCAACGGATTCTGGGTCCTTAGAGAGGCGGAGGAGAATCTCGACGTTGCAGCGGTGGGGACCACCTGGTCTGGGTCCCATGTACTACTACTACTGGTGGGAGTAGTTGAGTTGGTCCAATCGGTCGTCTCGCTGGTACTACAACGTGAGACCAGCTTGTTACGTTTTGTCACGGTAAGAACGTTTTCCTCCACGTTATTCATGGACCCCTGTTACCGGGAGCACCAATTTGCTCTTCTTCTTCTCAACCACTCCTCACCACGTTGTTATCGTCCTCGACGTGTCCTCTCTCCTCTTTCTTACACTTTTTGATCGTTGCGGTGGTAGTAGTCGTTGATCGTTGGTCGTTGTCTTCGTTGTTCTCCTCCTCCTCCTCCTTTCCCCCCCTCCTTTCGTGCCCTTGCTTTATTCTATCTTCTTCTTCTTTCAGTTTTCTCTCTTTCTCTTGCTAAGTCTCTCTTTGTAACTCCTGCCACCACGGCCCCAAGGGTCACTCAACTCCAGACGTACTCGGGACCCGTTCCACCAAGAACGAGCTTCTTCGTATTTCTCTCCTCGTGTTTCTTATTCTTATTCTTCTTCTTCTTCTTCTTCTTCTTCTCCTTCTCCTTCTTCTTCTTTTTCCTTTTCTTCCCCTTGCTCCTTTTACTACAAACTGCGATTTCCTAACAGACAAAGGCCGGATCAAGTGAAAGTTCTTCCTTCGAAGATACGCTACCAATGTCAGGAACTTTTTGGGCCCATTTCAGAAATCATCATCATTATCATCATTGTACATTAAGATTAAGATCTCTTTTAAACACTTAAATAAACTTTATTTGTTTTATTATCAAATTGTAATTTTCTTTTTTGTTTTTTATTTTTTTTTAAATCAAATATTATGTTTAAATAATTGGACAAAATAATACTACGAGACTTTTATCAAAAAAAAAAAGAAAAAAATTCGGACTAATCCCTCAAGTTTATTGTAATACTTTGTTTGGGCCCATTGTATGTTACACCTGTCTCTCGAAGAAAAAAAACCCGCGAAAGAGTTTAATAATATGGTTAAGAGGGTTATAATACCCGATTGGTGGCGCCATTTATAATACTATACCAAACAACAGAATATATGCGTATGATAAAACACAAATGAATAAAATTTAATGAAAATTAGGTTATGATCATGTAACAATTATTCAATTTTTTAGGTTATAATCATCAGCAATTATTTTCAGGCATACTTGATAAGTGCAATCAACGAAGTTACTATCAGTTAATTGCATGAGTATGATAACTGCATATATATAATGGTTTCATAATTTTTATTCGTTATCATATTCCTTCATAGTAATAAACTCACACACACACACACACATGCAGGAATTGCAATGAAAATTTTTATACTCGTAATTTTACTTAATTGTGGGTTGATTTTCTATACAAAAAAAATACGGAAAAAAAAGGTTTTTTTGGCGCGTAGTAAGATTATAACCAAAAATAAATATAAAAAACTGCTTTTTTGGTGTAGTAAACAAATAAACTGACACACATACGCAGAAATTGCAATGAAAGGTTTTAAACTCGTAATTTTACTTAACTGTGGGTTGATTTTCTATACAAAAAAAATACGAAAAAAAGGTTTTTTTGGCGCGTAGTAAGATTATAACCAAAAAAAAAAAATATAAAAAACTGCTTTTTTGGTGTAGTAAACAAATAAACTGACACACATACGCAGAAATTGCAATGAAAATTTTTATACACGTTATTGTACTTAATTGTGGGTTGTTTTTCTATAAAAAAAAAAAAAGGTTTTTTGGCGCGTAGTAAGGTTATTACAAAAAAAAAAAATAAAAAGCTGCTTTTTTGGTGTAGTAAACAAATAAACTGACATACATACGCCGGAATTGCAATGAAAATTTTTATACACGTTATTTTACTTAATTGTGGGTTGATTTTCTATAGAAAAAAAAAACGACAAAAAAGGTTTTTTGGCGCGTAGTAAGATTATAACCAAAAATACATATAAAAAACTGCTTTTTTGGTGTAGTAAACAAATAAACTGACACACATACGCAGAAATTGCAATGAAAAGTTTTATACTCGTAATATTACTTAATTGTGGGTTGATTATCTATACAAAAAAAATACGAAAAAAAAGGTTTTTTTGGCGCGTAGTAAGATTATAACCAAAAAATAATACAAAAAACTGCTTTTTTGGTGTAGTAAGATTACAATAAAATCTTCTACACTCAACAGAACTTTAACAATTATTGGATGTAATAAGATTGTTATAATAACAGGAAAAATAATCTTCTTCTCTAAATCGAAATTTTTGTGTTTACAATTTTTCTTTACTCAACTCAGAGTATTATTTTTGAGTTTATCATAAAAGAGACACTCTATAAGGAAAAACGTTGTTTGTTTTCTCCAAAATTGGAGGCTCACAAAATCCCGTTCCCGAATATCTTCAGAGAAGAAAACTGTTTGCAGATTTTATCATCATTGAGAGAGTGAACCAATTTGAAAGTGAGATGGATGGATGATAGAAGGACACACACACACACACACAATTTATGATAAACAACCCTAAATTTATGAAAAACAACAACAACCTAAAAAACTTTCCTTATTTGAGTATTTTTGATGTGGGAGAGATGATAGGATAAAGATGTCGACGTAATTCTGGAAAAAAAAAAAAAAAAAGAAAAACAACACAGAAAAAACATGGAGGATTTGAACCTGAGATCAAATTGAAAAGAAAACAACACTTGAGAGTAGTAGTAGTAGCAGTTTTTGAATTGTCAGAACACTTTACAACACACTTCACTAAACTTACCGTCACCAAGTTTTTCAAGGAAAATAATTGAATATATATTCATTTATATAATTTCTGTGAATACATTTACATATAATTATTTGATTATGGTAGTAGGTCGTCAGTTTCAACTACGTGTCCCGTAGAACAATTTTATCAAAAATGAATGTGTAACACAACATTATCGCGTTTATTTATCGCGCCGAGAATTTCGAGATGCGTTTGAACAAGTGTTACGTATCTTCTTCTATGTGTGTGTGTGTGTGTGTGTGTGTGTTCGACGAATGTAAAGCGAGTTGCTTTAAATAGAATCGAGACTCCGGTGTAGTCTAATCTAAATAAATACTTTGTCATAATAATTGTCAAGAAGTCCTAACTAAACTATTATTTTTCTATTATAATAATTTAATTAATTTCAAATGTTTTATAACAATTAATGCAAATTTTTCTCACGATTAAAAATTATAAATAATAATGATAATAATAAATTATTTAATACAATTTTTACAGGAATTATTGGGAATTAAATATAATTGGACGAGAATTGGATAAATTCATCTTTTTCAAATGTTTGCCGACGTGTTAAGCCGTCGAGAGGATTTTCAGAGTATTAGAATTTACAAAGACAAATTTTTATTAAAATACGATGATGAGAAATATATATATATATATATATATATATATATATATATATAT